ATAAACCAGAACAGTTGATCTTTTTGGATAAAAGTGCAAAGGATGAATGAAGCCTTACATGATATTATGGATATGTATTGGCTAATGCATGAGCACGTAAGAGTTGTGTTTTTTTATGAGATAAGCGGTATACCATTTTACCTGCATTATTATTAGATAGAATACTGGCTATTAATATAATAGAGGGAAGTTGCACCAGAGACTGATTTTCAGAGTTCGTATTGTCACAATTGGTTAGTATCTTAATTTTAAAACTTACAAAATAAGAAACTTATCAACAAATTATCGAATAATAAGCATGTGAATCATTAGTATATTTAAATTATAAATTGATCCTGATAACGCATTTGCATTAGGAAACCATAAAGAAACTTAGGAATGTTAAGTAGTCCACAGTAAACTAGATTGTACCAGATTTGGACTAGACTTTTTAGGAACAGTTCAGAACTAGTCCGAAACTAGTCCTATAATTTTGTGATCTTAAGGTCATATAGTTATAATTAAACACAATATTCGTTATATACATTAAACTGCTAGGATAAGACCGGATTCAGGCAAAGGTTATAAACTAGTTCCTAACTAGTTATAGACCAGACTTTTTAAGGTCTTAACCAGGGCTGGACTAGACTTTTAACATCTCTAAAGAAATTTATTGAATATTATACAAATGCGATGAGTCAATTGCAGATTTAAATAGATTAAAATATAGATAATTAAAAGTTAATATTAATTTAAATAATACCAATACACTTATATTAAAACAATGTAGAACAAACAAGAATCGCTTACCAATTTAGACAAATCATTAAAAATTAAACCAAATAATCAAACTTGCAGTATGATTAAATACTTATTTGCTATGCTATATAAGATAATAATCGACTAAGTTTAAAATTATCAACTCGACTACTAATACAAATTAAATAATTTTTTTTTAATTTAGATTCCTTTAATGAACCTATATCCTGGTAAAAATAGTGTTATCATTTTAGATAATATGAAAATTCTCTATGACAATAAGCTAGTTGAAATAATAAGAGAGTTAGGATGTTGTGAATTTCTTCTAGCTTATTTTTTAGATTTTAATCTGATAGAGACCGCATTTAGTACTATAAAAAGTTGAATTAGACGTAATAGAGATTTTATGAGTTTGCATAATGATCCTATTCATGCAATAATGATAGCATGTGCTCAAATTACAGCCAAGATGGCAGAAGGATTTTTTAAAAAGTCTATATATATGTAATTATCTAATTTCAAAGAGATAAATAAATATACATATATTTTTTTACAGTAATATTGTTTGTTATTAACTGCTTGATCTGAATCACAAATTTTAAATAAGTACGTACTAAATTGAGGTCAAGGCACTTAGCGTTAGTTACATCTATTGGTAATCAATTATTTAATTGTGATGCAACTAATGTAATTAATTTATAATATCAGGGTAATGTTACGACCAGAAGAGAGACTTTATATTAACTAGCTGATTTAGCTTATAGTTGTAAGCATTAAAATAAAGAAACTAAATATTTTATTATTATACACAAGGCCCCAAAAAGTACTTATAATATATCTCAACAGTGCACCTGGACACTATAGTCCTCTAAATTATCTCTTGTTTCAACTAAAACCTTCCAAAGTATCAACACAAAAATTCTAACTCACAATAGAAAAAACTAACTACCAGTATTCTATAACCAGTATTCTATAACCCTCTATATCTACTATTAAACTCTAATTATATTGTAATGATCGACAAAGTATAATAGAGTTATTACTTCGATCATTACTTAATTGTTAACTATGCTATATTATTTTGCATATGTAACAGTAATTACAAGATAATGATGTAATAAATATAATACAATTTTAACAGTTAGGGTAATAAAATGATAACATTTATAATAACTAAATATAATAAGTAAGAATCCGGTTATCAAGCAATTGAAGTCTAAAGATTTATTTTGAAGCCTAAAGATTTATTAGAACAAAGAAGCAGCTATTTATATGTTTTGGTTTAGAAGTAATTGTTTTGGACAATGTTTGTACCTTTATCTAGGCTTAAAAAACTAATATAATATTCTGGTACCATTTTTAACTTTTCATAAACCAACTGTCTAAGCTTTTGTTCAAGTTTAATTACACTACCTTAATTTTTTCTTAAACCCATATATAAGCTTTGGTTCATGTCTAATCCATGCAGATTTAATTAAGTGTACCGCTATTCCTATAGTTAATCATATTATTTATTTATTATTATAACCTTATTATATTTGTTGTATAAGTTCACTATTGGAGCTAAATTATTCCATACTCCAGTCACGGTTTTTCTGAAAAAATTGTGACAATAGCTCGCTATAAAGATTTGCATTAAATTGTAGTTTAAATTTGCTTCTAAGATTTCAAATTACTTTATTAAATCAGCTAAATTGTAATTTTGATTCAAAAGTAATTCTTAGAAGTAGATGAAAATACAAAAAAAATACTACTCTATTAATACATTAAATCTAATAATTCTAATAAAATATTAATATAATATGTTAATATAATTATATATTATTACCTTAAAATTTTTATTAATATTTTCTAGCTTCTTGTTTTATATTTATATGCTATCCAACTTTAGTTACACCTAATTCAATTAGTTGATCATCTGTTAACTCCTTTATACTATTTACTATAATCTCTTGTTCTTCAAACAATTTTTCTAAAGCAATATATGCACCTTTACTATTATAAATTTGATCTAATTCAGAAAAAAATTGATTTAAAGAAATATTATATCTAGAATAATTTGGGGTTGAGATATTTGAAGTTGAGGTATTTGAGGTTAAGATATTTGAAGTTAAGGTACTTGAAATTGAGGTATTTGATAATAAAATAAATTATAAAGATATGCGTAAGGATTAAAACCCAATAGCGTAGTCAGTAACATATCTGGTTATATAGTTTGATAAGGCATAGTTTGACTGTAAGATATAACCTGGTTATGAAATGCAATTTGATCATGAGATATAATTTGATCATGAGGTATAATTTGATCGCGAGGTATAATTTGATCGTGAGGTGTAATTTGATCATGAATTTTGGGTTTTGTAGCGTGAACCATTCCGAATATTGGATAGAAAGGGGTGTATCAATTGTAGACAAGTTATTCATCTAAAAATAAAAAATGTATATTTAATAACAATAATATCATTCTACAAAATATGGTAAAATCTCTATAACTGCAAGCACTTGGGATCAAGCTTCACTAGAGAACAATACAAAAAAATGCATTTATAGAAATCATCTATAAAGTTGGAATCGAATTAAACATGTATTTAGAGAGGGTATTGTATACACTTATAGAGGATATACACTTATAGAGGGTGTATACTTATAGAGATGCATTTATGGAGGTTTTACTATATCAATATATAATTTATATAAATTATATAATATATCACGAGCCCATAATATTAATCGAGTAGAATTTAACTGGAAATGGCATTCATTTTTGATATAATATAGTACAACATGTTGTGAGCATTTATATTTATTTCAAAGTTTTGTAATAATTTGAGCTTAATTATACTCGTCTTCGTTCAAATCTGATTCTTTAGGTGTATAATTAGTTTTTAACTTTTTTTTTCATTATTATTGGTATTCTAAATAAAAAGTATTTATTAATATTAATATATATGATAAAATTAAAGATACAAAATGCATAATAAATAGAGTTAAATTGGTTTTAATAAAACCAGTCTTTTTGACTAGTTATAGTTTTCGATTTTTAGTTTTTTAATAGTTCAGACTGGTTAATAACAAACTATTAAGCACATAGTTAACAATAAAAAAAAAAATTATAAGTAAACTTTTAAATAGTTAAAAAACATTATATGAATTTTTTTTTTTTTTTTTTTTTTTGTAAATGCCATAGTTGAAACTTTATTTAAAAAATAGAAATAATCTATATTAAAAGATTTCAAACTACACTTGTGCTACTAAAAGGCACCCAATATGACATTATACCCTCTAATTTTCTATATAATGCTATTATTAATTATTTCACAATAACTATATAGCTAGACTAGGTTAGAGAAAATCTAAGGTATATATCATGGTATTAAAGAATGCAGTTAGTTAAAGAAAAACCTTGTATAAACCATTTTTTTTATAAAAGAAGATAGATCTATTTGGGTTAAATTAGATGGTGAAATAGTCTCTAAGTGTAGAGTATTTGGTAAAGTATATTTATTCTGTTTTGCTTTAGCAGTAATGTTTCTGGCTTGTTCCTATTGGTGTTGTGAAATATTACGTATAGTCCATATTTCATCATGGAACCAGTTTAGTAAGTTATTAGATAGGAGAATAAGAA